AACCAAAGTTCTTTGCCATTCCTACCAGCCCAGCCCTGCTGCTGGTTTTTCCTTTTCTTTGGGTATTTGCACTATGTGGGAAGCAGGTTTTTCTATGCGGGAGCCACTTTTTTTGTACAGGGGTAAGTTGGGGTTTTCAGGGAGCCCTGTTTGGTGCCTCCTTCTATTTTTCCTCAATCTATGCAAGCGGCTCTGGCCGCCATCATCTCCTCGGACGCCAGAGGCCTGCCAGCCCAGCTCTTGAGCCCAGGGTGGTAGAGCCACCTCGGAGGGGGCTCCAGTTCTCTGGCATGGCCTGAGGTACGGGTGTGCGTGCTTGGTGGAGGGCGGGGGACGTGAGGGGGCAGGTGGAAGGGCTGTTGCTGCCCTTCAGAGCTTGGTAGAAGGGCGGAGCCCAGGGCTTGGCAAGTGCCACTTCTGGCAGGTTTGGAAATTTCCAAATAAATCCTTGTTTATTGGTGGTACCCGGACCTGGTCATTCAACAGTGTGGCCGCTCAGTAACAGACTAAAGTCCTTAAGGGCTTGTCCTGCAGAACTTTATTTGAGGGATCCACAGAGAAAACAAGCACCTCACTTCCACAGCTTCTTGATAGACATATTTTTCTCACTGTCCTTCTGCATGACCTGGAGAGAGAAAGCATTCCGTTATAAATGGAATAATGAACACATGCTCTGGCCCCCCTGCTCGAAACCCCATCTGCAAGGGTAGAGAGACGGGAGGCCTCTACCTTGGCGACAGCCATCTCGAAGTCCTCCTGGGTGACGTGGACCCGCCGCTCCCGCAAGGCGTACATGCCAGCTTCGGTGCACACACCCTGAGCAAAGAAGGGAAGCCAGACACTGCTGCTGTGTCCCAGAAACCACAGCTTTCTGCCTTAGCCCCCCTTTCCTTGGGCCCTCTGGTTACCTTCACTTCAGCCCCTGATGCTCCAGGCATGAGCTCAGCGATTTTCCGCAGGTTGATCCCCCGAGTCAGGTTCATTTTCCGAGAATGAATCTTTAAGATGTCCAGCCGGGCCTAGAGAGGGGGGAGAGAGGGAAAGCCTGAGCCCTGCGGCCTACCCCCACAGCCAGAGCCACTCCCAGCTCTGCCCCTCACAGACCTCCTCATTGGGGGGCGGGAATTCAATTTTTCTGTCGATGCGCCCAGGGCGAAGCAGAGCAGAGTCCAGGATGTCAATCCTATTTGTGGCCATGATAACCTGAGTGGAGAAAGGGGGTGGTGGCGGCATCAGCCAAGCCTTTCCTCAGGCTGCACCTTGCCCAGGGCCTTCCCTTGGACGCCACCTCACCTTGATATTCTTGGTGGCCTCAAAGCCATCGAGCTGGTTGAGCAGCTCCAGCATCGTCCGCTGCACCTCACTGTCCCCTCCAGAACCCCCCTCTAGCCGTGAGGAGCCAATGGAGTCAATTTCGTCCATGAAGATGATAGACGGGGCATGTTCTCGCGCCATGACAAACAGCTCCCTCACCATCCTTGCCCCTGTGCAGAGGCCCAGCTGGCGTTACGGAGGCAATGAGCTCCCTACCCTCACCTCCACCCCCTTACTTCTGCTTGGTTTTCATGCCTCTGCCCATAGTTACCTTCCCCAATGAATTTCTGTACCAATTCAGAGCCAGAAACGCGAATAAAGGTGCAGTCTGTATGATGAGCCACAGCCCGGGCCAACAGTGTCTTCCCAGTGCCTGGGGGTCCATACAGCAGCACCCCCTGGAGAGAAATAGCAGGACTCAGAGCAGAAACCAGTCCCATTACACTAGGGAACATGTATCAAGTGCTCACTCTGGGCTATACCCTGTGCTCGATGCCACAGGTATAAAAAAATGAACGTTGAGGTCCTTCCTAGTGCTTTTCTCTGAGCTACTGCAGTAGCCTGGCAGCACTCCTCCAAGCCCCTCTTCCCTGGGGAGGGCCAGCGCAAGTGGGGTCTCCTTACAGGGGAGTGACCCCTACCCTGGGGCAGGACATGCCAGTAACAGCGTGACCCTTCCACACAACTCTCGCTTCTCACCTTGGGCTGCGCAATGCCCAGCGCTTCAAAGAGCTCGGGATGCTTGACAGGCAGCTCGATCACTTCTTTGATCTCCTTAATCTGCTTGTCCAGTCCACCGATCATCTCATAGGTTGAATCTGGCACCTTTTCCACCATCATCAGTGACACCAGTGGGTCTACCTTGTTGGGCAAGATCTTGTGCAGAGTGTAGCTGTCGTTTCTTAGAGCCACGCGGCAATTGGGTGTCACCTGGGCAAGGGGAGAGTTTCAGGAAGTGATGTGGCAAGAGCTGAGCCCAACCTCCCACCTCACCTGCTGCACTCACGTCGTTAATGTCGATGTTCTTGTCCACATCTACAACAAACTTGCCTTCTGGATGCACCTAAAGAAACGAGGGCTCATGACCTTTCCTGACAATCACCGAACCATCCACCTTGCCCAGGAAGACCCATGAGCCCTAAAATAACAAAACAGTGTCCTGGCAAGACTACACACAGAAGCATGAGAATGCACAGGGCATTGGGCTGCTCCCTGGAGGCCATGATGCCTTTACCTTAACCAACACTTTTTTCTTATCCATGGCCCGGACTACTTCCCCCACGTAGGAGCCCTGTTCCTGCAGCAGCTGGAGCTCTTCCCGCAGTAAGCGAACTGGATGGGAAACAGACATAATGGTCACCCAGCTTCTCTGGTGTCCCCTCTCCTACGACTCAATTCAACAGGCATGAATGAAGCACCGTTCTGAAGCTTTAGAAGAACACAAAATAAGGTCAAAATTTAAGTCTCTAAAGGGATTACAATGTAGCTCGGGAGAGGCATGCATGTGAACAGCCAAGTAACAGTGCAAAGCATAGCCTCAGACTCTATGAGAAATAAGCACCGAACGTGAAGGCTCAGTTTAGGGAGATTCGAACAGTCAGACCTCGGACAGACTGTCCAAATGCAGCCTTCCCATCTTTCCCTCCTCACCTTTTGCATTAAGCTCATTCCTCTGTGCCTGCAGCCTCCGGAGATTTTGGCTCTTATCATTTACAATCAGCTATGGAGAACAAGAAACAGAGCAGAAAACACTAGGAAGTTAAGCTCTTGGCCAAGATCCTCACAGGCTGGTATGAGCTGAGTGACAAGAGCACAGGGCACCTGCACGTTCCAGATTGTCCAGTAGGATCCAAAGGACTCTGTCCTTACTTCCAAGAGTCTCTTTGGGGCCTAGGGCAGCCATCAAAAAAGGCTAGTTGTCCTAACACACTGCTCCAGGAATAATAAGCCTTAACGGAGAAAACTTAGGCTGCCTCACATAGTCAATTTCTTGTGAGGCAATGACATGGTAGACGGGGAAGATCACTGAGTCCAAAGCCCAAGTTCTAACTCCACTGTTGCCAAATTAACAGGTAAGTAAAACTAAGGGAAGCCACTTAAAAGGTCAAGATCTGTTACCAAACTGTAAGCAAATAAGCATTACTTGCCCTGCCTCTTTTCTGGACTACTGTGGAGGACAAATGACACCACACGTAAGAGCACTTAAAAAATGATAAATCTTATATGATAGCTGCAAATGTACCAGGAGTTTAGAAATTGCCCTTGTGACTTTCCTTCCTCCAATGTATGTATTTTCCTTATTGCTAGAGTCCCTGCTCCCTCTTTAGGCTGGAGCACTGGGCTGCCCAATTCCTTTTCACTAAGTCCCAAGAAATCAGCATTAAACAGACTGGGCAGTTCTGTCTCCCTCCCACTCTCACCCTGCCCCAACGGGAGTGGGTTAAATCTCAAGGGAAACTTCGTGTTCCCTTACAAAACCAACTCTCACATTCAGACTACTTCTAGACGGAATGGCATTTGGCTAAGAGTACCTTTTAGGTTAAAACTTAAAGTTTTCACGATGCCTAATAAACTTCGAAGACTTTTTATCTTCAAAAGGGTGGGAGTTGAGAAAAACAAGAGACTTAACTTCATATACTTCCTATAGCTACCAGTTACTTCTTTTATTGCGCCCCCTAGTGGAACTAAATGGATTTATAGAAACACACTCCATCAATTCTTCATCCCTCGTCTAGCTACCTGTGGACCTAGAGTCCGTCCTCACCTGGAGTTCTTCAATCTTGGACAGGTAATACTGGCGGAGTCCACTGCCTGCCTTCCCCTCTTCCAGCTCCATCTGAAAACACAGTGTAATTATAAAACAGGCCAACAAATTTTCAAGGGAAAAACCCACTTGCAGCTTGGGCTTTAGAGGAATGATCTGGGTTCGAATGCCTCAGTCCATCTCTAACTAACTCCACTTCCCCGTTACTAAACTAAAAGCAGAATGAGAATGCCGCCTACCTCCTAGGACTTCCAGGAGAATCAAGAGACAACATACACGGGAGCGCTTTGTAGCGATTCAAGCGCTATAAAAACCCGAGGTACCATTGCTAGAGGTGGAGCCACCTGGAGAAACCCGGCCCTACGTCCTGCGACTCGCGGACGAGCCGGTTCCCGTTCCCATCATTCCCCACTCCCTCCGCTTCCACAGGGTCTTATTCTCCCGGCCCTGCTCTGACCCGCCGGGGGCGGCGCTGACACAGCAGATCCGGTACCAGGCACGGCCCAGTCTGGATGGGCCCACCCACCCCCGACCCATCCAACCCACCCGACCCTGCTGCCCCGGCCGGCGGGCCACCTCAGATCACGCCTGCTTCGCATCGAGCCCCCATCCCCGCCCGGCCGTTGCAGCCGCCATACCTGCTCCGGTCCGTCAAGCGCCATCTTTCCTCTCTCACGGAGACCGCCGGCATCCGAGGCGCTTTGGCGCGCAGGCGCAAAAGCAGGGGCTTGGAGTCCGGCAACCCTAGAAGAGAAGAATTCCGGGTCAATGGGCGGGGTGTGCGTCGAGACAATTACAAAAACAGAGGCCATGATAGGAAGGTGGCTACGCGAGGTCAGTAGCTTGGAAAGAGATGAAAAGACCACAGAACTACTAAATGTTGCCCTCTAAGAACTCGGTTTTAGTTCAGGTAATCTGCTCACCTTGTCCCACCTTCCAACTTCCAATACTTGAGAGTATAGACAAGAATTTGCGGCCACACTCAAAATGGCGGAAACGTGGAGGCGGGGACGCAAGTGGAAGCGGACGTACGTGTGCTGTCCACATGTGCTTCTGCCAGAGTGGTGAAAAGGGCCCTGGTTCACGGTGTTTGCAGAGTTAGGTAGGGAACGGAGAGCGGAATTTAGTGGTCCAGAAGGTCCGGAAAGAGACGTTCCAGTTTTTACTCTGTCCCCAGACCGAGTGACACTCCCCCCGTTTCACCATGGGCAAGAAGGGCAAGGTCGGGAAGAGCCGGCGGGACAAGTTCTATCACCTGGCGAAGGAGACCGGTGAGTTAAGTGTCCTCGCCGTGTGCGAGCGAACGAGTGACCTTTTCGATTCGCTCCCTCCTTCCCGAATATTGAGTTCCTGTTCCCCAGAAGGGGTGGTGGGTTGTGAAGCTGCATAAATCACCCTGGGAAAGCGCCCCACCGAGTTTAACATTTTGTCGGGTGCCCCCAGGTTACCGCTCCCGTTCCGCTTTCAAGCTGATCCAGTTGAATCGCCGCTTTCATTTCCTGCAGAAAGCTCGAGCCTTGCTGGACCTGTGTGCTGCGCCAGGGGGATGGTGGGTAACACCCGGCACCTGTGGCTCTTCATGGCTGCTTTCTGGGTTCCGGCGTTGGATGACTGAGGGTTGCTTTGGGGGAGGGAGGGTGGGATACAGTAATACCAGTCTCAAATTTCTCCCTAGAGGTAGGTCTCAGAAAAAAGGTCTGAAACTTGTACATTATATGCTCCGGTCATTGCACTTGGTAGCGGTTCTTAATACGCATGGTGAGAGAGCATATTGCCAACGGAGGGGGACAACAGTCCTGGATTACTTTAACTGGTATTACTTTCTTACAGGTTGCAGGTGGCTGCTAAGTTTATGCCTGTATCCAGCCTTATTGTAGGTGAGTAACAGGTGGGCCCTCCCTGACTGTGAACGGGTTGGGAGAGTGAGGTACTAATTACGTTCTACATTTCCTTTTTCCTTGCTTGAGGCAGCCTTTTGGAACTCTCTGACCTGGTTTCTTCTAGGAGTGGACCTGGTTCCAATCAAGCCTCTTCCCAATGTGGTGACACTCCAGGAGGACATCACGACAGAACGCTGTAGGCAGGTAATAGGAATCTCTTTTCCCGTCTGCTTTATATGCAGACACTCACATCTCTCCCTCTCACCAAATGCTCTGGAGGCAGGCTTTTTCAGTTTAACACGCCTTGAGCAGTGCCTGCATCGTCTGTATGACAAGGCCCATGACATCCTTAGGCTCCATTGCAGGCTTTATTTAATTGGTAATAAGGTGTTTGGAGTTGGAACAAGTGCAGAGATATTGTTGAAATTTTTTTCAATAGGAAAGGGCTCACTAATAGACTGTAAGCTCCGTGAAGACAGACGTGAGTTGTTGTTTTTTAATTGTTGCATCCAGTGCCTGGCACAGGATTTGGCCCGCTGTGGGCATTGAGCAAATGCCCACGTGGACAAATGGCTGAACGATAGCTGTTGCTGTGGTTGCTTTTTTTCCGTATAGGCCCTGAGAAAGGAACTGAAGACCTGGAAAGTTGATGTCGTGCTCAATGATGGGGCCCCCAACGTTGGGGCTAGCTGGGTCCATGATGCTTACTCACAAGGTGCTGAGAGTGGGGGGCATGGAGATGAGGGTGGATGTGCGCTTGCCACTCAGGCTGCAGAGGTTCTCAAACTAATTGTCTCTCTCCCACAGCCCATTTGACACTGATGGCTCTGCGTTTGGCTTGTGATTTTCTGGCCCGTGGAGGCTGCTTCATCACAAAGGTTTTTCGTTCCCGTGACTATCAGCCTCTACTGTGGATCTTTCAGCAACTCTTCCACCGTGTCCAGGCCACTAAGCCCCAAGCCTCTCGACATGAATCTGCAGAGATCTTTGTTGTTTGCCAAGGTGGGCATCACTTTTTCTTTCTCATGAGTTGGTTTCTTAGCCACCAAAGCATACTTTCCTTTTTTTTTTTAAGATTTTATTTATTTATTTGACAGAGATCACAAGTAGGCAGAGAGGGGGAAGCAGGCTCCCCGCTGAGCGGAGAGCCCGATGAGGGCTCGATCCCAGGACCCTGAGATCGTGACCTGAGCCGAAGGCAGAGGTTAACCCACTGAGCCACCCAGGCGCCCCAAAAGCATTCTTACTTATACACCCTATCATCTTAGGATTTCTGGCTCCTGACAAGGTTGACAGTAAATTCTTTGACCCCAAGTTTGCCTTCAAGGAGGTCGAAGTTCAGGCCAAGACTGTTACCGAGTTGGTGACTAAGAAGAAGCCAAAGGTGTGTTTGGGGAATGGGGCCACTCTCAGGTCTTGGAGTTCAGGGGAACTTGGGCCTGGTGCATCCTGCACACACCTTAAGAAAGGACTTCTCAACCTTCCTTCTTTCCCTCCCTAAGGCTGAGGGTTATGCTGAGGGCGATCTCACACTCTACCACCGTACTTCAGTCACTGACTTCCTGCGAGCTGCCAACCCTGTTGACTTCCTCTCCAAAGCCAGTGAAGTGAGTCCTCGGATTGGAGGGGTGCAGGGAAGCTCCAGAAACATGTCCCTGAAATAATCCCGACTCCTTTCCTTTCTCCCAAACAGATCTCACTGGATGATGAAGAGTTGGCCCAGCATCCAGCTACCACTGAGGACATCCAGGCGTGCTGTCAGGATATCAAAGTGCTGGGGCGCAAGGAGCTCAGGTATGCCATGGGGTGAGCACAGGTGCCCGCCCAGAGTCCCCAAGGCAGGGAAGGGCCTTTGAAGACACAGCAGCATTTTTCTTCCTGAGGAGACGATGTGAGGAATTCACCCAGCGCTGGATATTGGGGAACAGGATGTGCCTGTGTTAGAGATTTGGGAGGGGGTCCTATAAAGGGGACGGGGCAAAGAGGGAAACGTCAGGGTTAGTCATGGTATTTCTGGGGCAGGTCCCTCCTGAACTGGAGAACAAAGCTCCGGCGATACGTGGCTAAGAAGCTGAAGGAGCAAGCGAAGGCCCTGGACATCAGGTGTGGCGGGAATCCGCGCAGGGTGGGGGTCGGCGGGGGTCGGCAGCGTGTGTGAGGAAAGAACCAAACTGCTGGTGCTGTTCTGTCAGCCTCAGTTCCGGAGAGGAGGAGGAGGAGGAGGGTGAGGAGGAGTCTAAGGCTGGAACTGGGCAGCAGCTCTCTAAGGAGGACGAAGAGGAGGAACAATTAAACCAGACCCTAGCGGAGATGAAGGCGCAGGAGGTGGCAGAATTAAAGAGGTGAGAGGAGCGGGGAAGAGCTCGGGGAACGGGAACCCCCACCACAGAGTTCCTCAGGGTGTGGAGATGGGGGAAGAGGATGGAGGCACAGATAGGGAATCCTGAGAGCTAGGGCAGGTTGAATTCCTCAAATTGTCCGCTCAGGAAGAAAAAGAAGCTGCTGCGTGAGCAGAGAAAACAGCGGGAGCGTATGGAGCTAAAGATGGATCTTCCCGGGGTTTCTATCGCAGATGAGGGGGAGACTGGCATGTTCTCCCTGCGCACCATCCGGGGTCACCAGGTGAGGCGGGCTGAGGGCAGATCGAGGAGACAGGACCGCCTGCTTGCTATTTGGATGGGGGGGCGGGGTGTTGCATTGGAATTTTTTTTTTTATTTGACAGAGATCACAAGTAGGCAGAGCAGCAGGTGGGGGTGGGGTGGGCTGGGGAAGCAGGCTTCCTGTTGAGCAGGGAGCCCGATGCGGGGCTCGATCCCAGGACCCTGAGATCATAACCTGAGCCGAAGGCAGAGCCTTAACCCACTGAGCCACCCAGGTGCCCCAGATTTTTTTTTGAAGTGTGCTGAATGTTTACAGCTCATAGTTACTGTGTTCATCTGTGAAGGGTGACTCTTTCAGTGAGAGGAGACTGGGCAGAATAAACCTCTGAGTTTTGTGCCTGAAAGGCCGGGAAGAAACACACATCTGAACAATGAGATGAGGAACATTTATGAGTGTGCTGGGGATTTATTGTTGTGGAAGCTAGAACATTAGAACCAAAAGGCCCTCTCTGCAGGAAGCGTGGGTTCTAGCGGATGCAGCCACCAGGGTCCCGGGGATGCCGGGATGTGTGATGGGTTTTCCTCAGAGGAGAGCTCAGTGGGACCAGGTTCCCCGAGCCCAGGTTAGCCCCTTGCTGCTATAGGCTGCTGCTCCTGATTAAAGCAGCATCAACAAGCAAAATGAACTTCTGAGCCTCCGGCGGGAATGGAAAACCAGGTACTCTGTTACGAGAACAGCAAAGAGAGCGTAGTGGTTCTGCAGTAGACGACCACTTGGTCGTTCTTTGCCTTAGTTTTCTCATGTGTAGAGAATGATAGAACCTACTGACTATAGAGTTTTGGGGAGGAATTTTTAAAAGAGGGTTTAGGTGTAATCCTTGGTAATGTGGTGAACTCTGAAGAACTACTAGGTAGCTGTTATGAGGAAGTAAATTTTGAGGCTGATAGTTTTTAAGTGAAATAATTGTTCGATGTGTATTGCCTGGATTCCTATATTCAGTGGAAACAACATTTGTAGGTCGTATTATTCTCAGGTGATTTTTTGTTGTTGTTTTCTCTCATCATGTGCTTCCTGAGAGTAATTTTTTAAGAAAAACCAATGTTTTAGACTATTTTAAGAATGGACAGTATATAGCCTTGAGGTGTTTATCTCTAAGCCTATCCTGCTACCACTGGAGAGGAGACAGCCAAGTGAGCTAGGTCAGTGACCTGGCTTTGAATGGACTTTTTGGGAAGATTTCTTCCTAAAGGGGCGCCTGAGTGGCTTAGTCAGTTAAGCTTCTGCCTTTGGCTTGAGTCATGATCCCAGATTCCTGCGATCAAGCCCTGTACTGGGCTCCCTGCTCCACGGGTAGCCTGCCTCTCCCTCTTGCTCCCCTTGCTTGTGCTTGTGTGCACTCACTTTGTAAAATCAATCTTTAAAAAAGAAACCACTTTTTTAGAGAGTGAGCACATGTGCACCCCACAATGCGGGGAGGGCAGACTCTCAAGCAGACTCCCCTCTGGCAAGGAGCCCGATGTGGGGCCTGACCTCACAATCCCTAAGATCATGACCTGAGCGAACACAAGAGACCCCGCCAGCTAAGCCAACGGTACCCCTAGAGTGGGATTTTTTAATTATTTTTTTTTAAATAATTTATTTATTTGTCAGAGAGAGAGTACACACGAGCAGGCAGGGAGGCAGGCAGAGGCAGAGGGAGAAGCAGGCTCCCTGCCAAGCAAGGAGCCCGATGTGGGACTCGATCCCAGGACTTTGGGATCATGACCTGAGCTGAAGGCAGAGCCACCCAGGCATCCCGGGATGTTTTATATTTAAGTTTTTGTCAGAGAGCACAGCAGGGGGAGCAGAGGGAGAAGCAGACTTCCCACTGAGCAGGAGCCTGATGGGGGGCTTGATCCCAGGACCCTGGAATCATGACCTGAGCCAAAGGCAGACACTTAACCGAGCCACCCAGGCGCCCTGAATGGATGTTTCATGCACTTAGCCCATCACTTCCCTGTCTGTATTTGCCAGTGTATTTTCAAACGTTGCTAAGATAACAGATACAGGGGGAAAAAGTGGTATATGCCTCCTAAGAACCCTTGACCTCTTTCTCTGTCAAATGCCAGCTGTTGGAGGCGGTCACACAAGGGGATATGAGTGCTGCAGACACATTTCTGTCCGATCTGCCAAGGGATGACATCTACGTGTCCGATGTTGAGGACGATGACGACAACGCATCTCTGGAGAGTGACCTGGATCCAGAGGAGTTGGCTGGAGTTGGAGGATCTCAGCATCTAAAGGACCAAAAGCGGTAAGTGGGGGTCTGTGTAAGCAGAGGCCTTGACGCCCTCGCATGAGCCCTGAAGCAGAGCTGGGCACGGGGGTCGCCAGAGGGAGTTGGAGAGCAAGTCCCCCAAGCCCCCACCCACTGTCCTTGGGTCTACAGTGTACGATTTGCTGAAGTAGAAGATGATAAAAAAGAAGAGGAAGAAGAGAATCCACTGCTGATACCGCTGGAGGAAAAGATGGTAGCGCAGGAAGAACAAGCCAGTCTGTGGTTCTCTAAGGTAGGAAGAGGTTTGGGGGCCCAGACAGACAAGGAATTCATAGGAGACCGGTGGCTGAGTCTTCCCCTCTCCCAGGATGGCTTCAGTGGGATCGAGGATGATGCCGACGAGGCACTGGAGATCCGGCAGGCCCAGCTACTGTCTGAGAGCCGTCGGAAGGGGCGACAGCAGGGGCCGCAACCACCTCCCAGTCTGAAGACTGAGAAGAAACCTCCCCAGGACCAGGAGGAAGACCCTAAGGGGCCAGAGGCTCGAGCAGCAGCCAAGACGGCCCCTGGGCCCGGCAAGGAAGGGGACGGCAGCTCGGACAGTGACAGCGACAGCAGCAGCGATGAAGAAAGGCGAGTGGCTGCAGCTGTTCTGACCTTCTCTCCATGTTCAGGGTTTCCATCCTTGGTTGTAGATACTTTTAAAAAAATAGTGATGATCTTGAATTAAGTGGTCTGTAGTATAGCTTGGGGGCCTTTCAGGAAGTTTCTCAAGTATGCAGTAGGAAGCGGGGTTGCCGTGAGGCAGGAGTGGGGCTGGGGACTGGCGGCACAGTGACATGGTCATCCCCCTTCTGCAGTTGGGAACCCAAGCGCAGGAAGAAGCGAAGCTGCGGGCCTAAGTCCGATGACGACGGGTTTGAAATTGTGCCTATCGAGGACCCAGGTTAGCTCAGTACCTTACGAAATAGGAGGGGACAGCGGAAGTCTGGGTTGGAATGGAGCTTTGACTTTCTCCTTTCCTCCCTAGCGAAACATCAGGTACTAGACCCTGAAGGCCTGGCCCTAGGTGCTCTCATTGCCTCTTCCAAAAAGGCTAAGCGGGATCTCATAGATGACTCCTTCAGCCGGTAAGGGGGCCAGGAAATCCCGACAGGCGGCCCTGGAGGGGGCTGAGTCAGGGGCGTGATTTCAGGGCCGCTGTCCTCTCTATCTAGGTACGCATTTAATGAGGAGGAGGGGGAGCTTCCTGAGTGGTTTGTGCAAGAGGAAAAGCAGCACAGGCTCCGGCATCTGCCTGTTGACAAGAAGGAGGTGGAACACTACCGCAGACGCTGGAGGGAGATCAACGCGCGGCCCATCAAGAAAGTAGCCGAGGCGAAGGCCAGAAAGAAACGGAGGGTAAAGAGTGGGGCTGCCTGCTGCTCGAATGCCAGAGCGGGAGTGGGGAAGAGTCTGCCTGACTGAGCACCACCCCCTCGCCCCACCACAGATGCTGAAGAAGCTGGAGCAAACCAAGAAGAAGGCAGAGGCTGTGGTGAACACCGTGGACATCTCAGAACGCGAGAAAGTGGCTCAGCTTCGGAGGTATAAAGGAGAGAGGGGTCACCCACAAAGGTACACGGGGTTAAAAAGGGTGGCTGGGAGCCTCTGACTGTCCCTTCCATTCACAGTCTCTACAAGAAGGCCGGGCTCGGCAAGGAGAAACGCCAAGTCACCTATGTGGTAGCCAAAAAAGGCGTGGGCCGCAAAGTGCGCCGGCCAGCTGGGGTCCGAGGCCACTTCAAGGTGGTAGACTCAAGGATGAAGAAGGACCAAAGAGCACAGCAAAGGAAAGAGCAGAAGAAAAAACACAGACGGAAGTGAGCAGAGCCACCAGGACCCCTGAGAAAACAGTGTGAGGACACGGAGGTGTGATTCCGGTCCCCCTGGTACCAGTTACAGGCTTCCTTGTGTCGGAGTCTGCTGGGAAGACAGGTGGGGTGCCTAGAACTCTCGCGGTGGTCCTGTGGGGTGAGGGAAGATGTTCCCCTGCCTGAAGGAAGGTCTTGGGCCATGTCCTGTTGATGCTGCTGTTGGCATCCCCCACCGGCCCCAAGCTCTCTTGTTAGGAACGTGGAGACTAGATGAACAGTCTCCTGAGGGGAAGGTTGGTGTTGGAGTGGCAGTCACTCTTTCTGGGCAAGCTGGCCTCTCGGGCCTTCCCCATCCTCTTCTGTTATCTGAATAAAACCAGGGTAGTATCTTTTCTGACTTTTAGTTCCCAATTCCCATTAAGCGCTAACTCAAGACAGCTGGGTGTTCGCACCATGCACTGTTAAAAATCATAGTATATACTCACTGTGAAGTAGAAATGACAAACAATCCACAGGTCCCAGTAGTAAAACATTTACTAGAGCAAGCAGAAAGGAATGCACATCTTAAAGAAACCTTCACAAAGTCACAAAATTCGAAGTATGTATATTTCTTTTCCTTTTATAAACAAGATAGAACAAAAAAATCATCAAAATCATTTCAGCAAAAGATTTTTCTACCATTGTGGCAAGTTAAAAAAAAAATACAATGAAATAGAAGACACTTTAAAAGCTGTTGAGTTTTTGTTTTTTGTTTTTTTGTTTTTTGTTTTCAATTTAGTAACACTTCAGACCTGGAGCAGTCTTGGTTCCAGGATCTTCCTCTTCGAGGGTAGAGGCTCTCTGGGTCTGGCAGGCTGCTGCTTCCTGTCTCAGGACTGGATACAAACCTGGCTGGGAAACCTGAGCATGGACTCCCACTTAGACATCTCCCTTCCCTGCAAAATCTAGAAGCACCAAAATGCTTCCCCAAATCTCTAACAAACGCTTCAGTGGGTTGGGTTTGCAGAAAGCCAACTCCTAAAAAGCGGACTGCCTGGCCACATGGCTAAGAAAAGAAATCTTACTTGTAGATGTTTATAAGGTGACATTTTAGTAAAAAATATAACGCTACATATAATATAAACCTAGAGTGAGTTTTGTGCCCTAGAAGGCCCTTTCTTTCAGGGTATCCTCAATTGACCTTCACAACTCACCCAGAGCCCAACAGAAGGTTCCCAGCTCTCACTGCTTCCAAGGACCAAAGCAGCTTCCCAAGACATCTGAAAACTGATCCAGATGAAGGGGTCATGTCTCCAAGCTCCAGCTAATCCACTAAGGGCAGAGGGTCCTTATACCTTGGGCCCCAACCCAGCCCTGAGACACCTAGTTACCAAAAATCTTTCTAAAAATAAAATTAAAGACAACTGATTTCACACTGTGGCACATACCCTCTAACTGTCCCATCGACTTTTCTTGCGCTTGGGTGGCTCGGGGACAGCAAAACCATCAGCTGTCTTATCTGTCTTGCTGTCCACCTTGTCCATCTTGCTGTCCACCCTGGGGTCCACCTTACTCTCACGGTTACAAGCCTCTTTCCTGCTTTCACCATTTCGGCCATCGTTTGCACCTCGGCTCTCTCCGTGTCGACCGCCACCTCCTCCGTGCCTGTTCTCCCCGTGACGGTGACCATCAGCATGACGGCTGCTGCTGCTGCTGCTTTCTGGGTAGCGGTATCCGTCTCCATGGCGACCACCATCTCCATGACGTGGACTGTCACCATGCCGATTGCCACTCTCTCCATGACCGTGACGGCTGCCACCCCGGTTCTCCGTGTATCTCTCTCTCTTCCCATTGCCTCCCCCAGGCCCTTCTCGGCTGTTACTCCCTGAAGCTGTACTGTTGACTCCCTGTGCTCCAGGAGAAGGGTAAGTCACTGGAGCACTGCTGAGGTTCCCAGTATTGCCAAAGCCTGGGATACCCTTGGTGGCACTGGGAATGGGGCTTTCTGGACTGTTATGGCCCTGTTGGGCTGAATTAGTTGGAACAGAATTCAAGCTCCCTGCACTAGTCCATCCACTTGCCCCAGCAGCAGAGCTTCCCGCCTTCTGGTTGCTTAAGCTGGCAGCAACAAAGTGACTCTTGTACTGTGACTAAAAGAGAGACAACAATAGCTAAGACAGTAGGTTCAAGAAACTTGGATACATGAAGCTTGGAAATGAGAAGATACATAGAAATTCTATGCTCTCCTGGTACTGTAGGCCCCACAACCCTGTTCCTCTATTAATGAGAAAGAATAAATCTAGGGGACCTAGCTGAAACATCAGTCTGAACCCAGATAAAATGCATAAACTAAGGCTCAACCGGTTATCTAGCTAACTAGAGTGTAAGTATAGAGGGGTTCAGCGTTCACAAGAGCTCCAGAATCAAACTTGTCTTAGCTAAAAAAAAAAATGGCAATTACTCTCAACCTGATTACAAGAGCCTTGGAGGTGGGCAACACTGTTGGCAGGGAGGGAACACCAGCCCTGCTACAGTACAACAGTCCCAGGCTCTGGGATAGCTCACGTCCCTGAGCCTCAGACTGCCCAGCCTCTACACCTGCAGCTCCAGGTAGCCTGGCACACGAAGCGGACATTCGCAACTGAAAGCAGTGAGAAGGTCCTAAGTCTAGCAGCAAGCCTACAAGCTCAGCTACCCTCCCAGACCAGACCCCTCATCACTGCGCAAAGCTCTTTTAGCTAACTGCTTAATTTCAGACCTGGAAAGCTGCTTTCATTGCCGTCAGCCGATCTCCCATGGCTCCTGTGGAGGGCTTGTAAGCCTCGTAATTGCTCATCACGTTGTTGTTGTTGCCTCGGTCCTTAAAAAAAAAATTAATTAAAGAAAGAAAGAAAAAGGCACACCCATCAGGACAAAATGAGCAGGAGAGCCCACTGCCAGAACGGGCCTCACATACTGGAAACAGAAGTGGGTGCTGTGATGCGAACAGGGTATTTGTATCAAATGGGAAAAGGTACAGTAATGATTTTTTAAAAATCCTAGGATGCCTGGTGGTTCTAGGTTGGGCATCTGCCTTTCGCTCAGATCACAATCTCATGACCTGCATTGGGCTCCCTACTCAGTGGGGAGCCTGCTTCTCCCTCTCCCTGCCACTTCCCCTGCTTGTACACACTCTTTCTCTGTCAAAGAAGGAAACCAAATTTTTAAAAAATGCTTATCCTTTTTAACCCAGTAATTATGCTTTTAGGAATTAACCCTAACCCTGAAGTCAAATTATGGCCAAAGCCGATCATAAGGTTTTATTTACACACAGAAGCGTGTTTACGTGATTCTGTGAAGCTTCACGCTCAGCATGAAGAGGCCACGAGGCACCAGAGAGCACATGCATATTGCCCGTAACCGGCCCAGGCTCTGAATCCACTCTTAAAAGCCCAAGTCTCAGTTTCAGCACTTACTGGAGTGTAACCTGGGGTGCCTCAGTTTCCTGACCAGCAGACCTGTGCTCCCCAGGGGTTGGCGGATGAGGTTAACACGCATGAGTGCCTGCCAGCAGTAAGTCAACATTAGCTACCACGACCACCTGCGTCACACGCATGCGCATCACCGTTACTGAGCCGGGGAGACGCTGTATCAGAGACCCCAAACTGACAATAATGCTCCAGAAATACAGACTGGCAGTTTGAGTCTTTGGTTTATGAATCAAGGTGTTATGAAACAGGCAGTTAAAAAGCCAGTAAGGGGGCACTTTTGTTACCTGTTTTGTGAGAAAAGCTACCTCTCATCTCCGATGCAATTTCCCACAGAATGTAGGAACTCTTAACTCCAGGAGTTACGAGTTCCCAGCAGCAGACTCTAAGGCCAGTGCTAGTTGGCTTGTTAAGTTTCTGATTCACCAGGTCTGGGGTGGGGCACAAATACGCATTTACTGTTGCTCTAGGACCAAATCTGGGAACTGACGTGAAAAGACTGATTTCCTGAGCATATCTAGTCACCAAGTACACACAGATGCTTCTTTAAGAGAAAGTCCCAACACTCCTCTCTAGGCCACGTTCTGAACTCACTGAGGTAGAGGAGGGCCGTCGTAACACCCTCCAGGACTTGGAGCGGTGCAAAGGGCACAGCTACAGTTTGGCAGTCTGGACTCACCGTGTTCTCTGAGCCTAGGCCAGGCCGCTCCCTGTAGCCGAGACCGCCTCCACCAATGTTCAGCTTTTTGCCTTTTCCTCCTTTAAAGCGGGATTTCCGAAACCAGGCATTCTGCATTGAACACAATTCAAGGTTAGGTCACAGGAGGAAGTGGCAGCCAGGGAAGGAGGACATCATCAGAAACGAAGTGGGAAGGAAGAACGTAGTGGTTCATCTTTAGCCAATGCATTTATGGCAACTGCTCGCAGGAACCACAGATGAGCTTCTTTAGGAAGTGCAGTCTACCAAATTCGTCAGGGGCCAAGGCCCTTATCTGAGGCTTCCGATACTGCTGTTTCTCAGGGCCTTCAGGGAGGGCAGTGAGGAGGTCAGCCTCCGATGCAGAGCACTTACTCGGCCCACTTCTAACTTCCTAGGGGAAAAGGAACTGACTTTCCATTTATTAATCTAGATGTACTACTGGACATACACGTTTGGAGCTTATAAGAGGGTTTAGAAGTGAAAGAAAAAGACCATGTGAAGTGAGGTTCACCAGAACTGGCTCTAGGGCAGATGTCCAGGGCAATTAGCCACAAAACCGAAAGTTTTATGTACCCAAAGCCTGAAGTGTTCCTTGAACCTGATTGCTGCCAGCATATTATGAATCAGATTTATGTTCTTTTCAGAATGCAAACATCAATGGAAGACATAGCCCTTTATCTAACAATCACATGTTACAATCTAAGAGAAATACTTAAGAGGTAGGGCTGGCTTCAGAAAGGCACTGACCAGGGAAGCTGATCACACAGTCTGAGAGCACCGGAAGCCTAAGGCACAAAAAGAGATGTAGGAAAAAGCCAAAGACCAGATATATCCTGTTGGAAAATGTAGTTTATAAAAAAAAAAAAAAAAAAAATGTAGTTTATGACGGGCTTTATGTACCTAGGAAATGGAAGGAAACATCATTTTACTCCTTCCTGCAATGCAGATCCTCTACTCCCAGAAGCCAGTGCATGGGCAGCATACCACACCACAAGTGCAGGACGGGTTGACTATTCTGTGCGCTGACTTATGACTCTAAAAAAGACTTAAGTCTCTACTATCAAAATGTGTATACTGAACCCATTTGTAATTTGGGGACTACATATATTAAGATGACTCAGGATTTACTTCAGTAGAATGCCTAGCTTAGTTTTAGATTGGTAATCAAAGTGGTTAAAGGTCTTAGACCTAAGTCTAGGAGAAACAGTTAAATACATCATATTTTCTTAAGACATCACACATTTTTAACTCCTCAAGATGAAGACTGGAAGTAAGGACAGTAAGGGGAAAACACCCGTCTTTGAGATTAGACTTCCAAGTGTGGTATGGGGCAAGCAGGCAGAAATTTCAGAGACAGATTTTAGCACACAAAAAGGAAATAGCTTTTTTCAAATCAATGTTGCTGAAAGAAGATAGACCAGATGAATTTTAATGTCCTACAATACAGATCTGTAGCCCCTAAGGACTCCCCTACACATGTCTGCAACTTTTCTGTCATATGTCTATGTTAGCTCCTCAGGCTTTTTTGTTGTTGTGTGTGTGTGTGTTTTACTAGTTTTAGAACCTGGAACCATCTTTAGTATACTCTGCCACTCACCTGCATCGCCAGATCGAGGAGTTCCTTGGAAACATGCTGATTGGCTCCTTCCAAGTTCCGGACGAGGTCACCAGCAAAATTGCTGTCCTTGGGGGTCAGTAAGGTATAGGCCACACCTTTCTCACCCGCTCGTCCTGTGCGGCCAATCCTGTGAGTATGAGTATCAATGTCTCGTGCCACGTCGTAGTTAATGACAGTCTTAATTGAAGGAATGTCCAGACCACGGGCTGAAATAAAAACACCCAAATTCTTTTATCCTTTAGCAGAGTCAAAAAATCGAAGTAACCAAAAATGCTGGTCCTTTAAGAACCCACATTCCTTTTATTTAGGCAAAGTGCATGGTGTGGTGAGCTGGTAAGATCCAAGCATTTAAGTTGCCCTTCTAGAGCAAATGTCAACATCGTTGACTCTCTGACGCCAGGCTGTCTAGCTGACGGACACAGGCCTTCTGACATCAGTAGCCCGCCATGGCCTCACTCTTGCACCAGGAATATGTAAAATGATGAAAGCCAGCATCAAATTGGCTTGAAGCTGAGAAATTATTTCCTTTTTGGAGAGAAAATACCAGTTTTTTAAGGGCAACTATTAAAACTGAGAATAAAGCCAGGGTGCCTGGGTGGCTCAGTGGGTTAAAGCCTCTGCCTTCGGCTCAGGTCATGATCCC